TGTCTTTCACAAAAAATATAAAATGCATAAATAAAAAAAATGTATAATACATTAAAAAATAAAACATATAATATTGTAACAACATTATTAAATAAATTTAAATATTCATAACACAACATATATTTATACAATTCATTACACTATATTAGAATTTTCTTTTTATAAACAGCTACTTGAAAGGTGAAGAAGCTATGTGTGTCACATGACTTGATGATAAATGAATAAAACATGCACACTGATTTGCTGCTGTTACATATTTTGAAAAAATACGAGAAAGAAACAAGTATATATAATAAAACAGACTTATTATTTGGAAAAATACAACACCTGTTTTACACTATTACTTCAAATTTTCACACAGTGTGTTAACTATGAAGCCCAGTGGAACAATAAACCTTCTTTTACCATCTTGAAAGACAAATTAAAATGTGTAATCTTACTTATTATAAAACGCAGATTGTGTGTGTATGTGTGTCTGTACGCTTATATATTGGATCGGATTTCCTACATTTTTCAACCGATTTCAGCAAAACTTCACAGGACTGCGTAAAATTACCTTGCGGTGGTTCTGACAGCACCAAAAATTGGAAAAACACAATTGTTTTTGCACAAAATAAATTTGAAAATACGATAAAACACCATTCTGTCGCCAGAATGAAAGAGGGACAACTCATATCGAGTTATACTTATTATAAAACCTAGGTTGTTTGTGTGTGTCTGTATTCATTTATATATGGGATCGGATTTCCTACATTTTTCAACCGATTTCAACAAAACTTCACTTTTTTTGGCAGGTAGTGTTTCATATTGTCTTTCACACTTTTTTCTTTATTTTTACAGTCAGAATGCTTTAAAAATTCCATTTACAAGACAATTGTTTATAATAAAATTCTATTCAATCAATAGACTCATAACGATTGAAAACAATGTTTTTGTTTCAGTTTGGATTTGACCAATTCAAAAAAAAAAAAAAAAAATGACAAAAAAAAAACTAATTAAGACATGCATGTCCATCACCCTTAAACAATAATCTTTGTCAATTTTATTTTTCAGTCTACATGATAATCGATACTTGATCTATCTCTTACTGTTACATCCCCGGGCAAAACTGGGCTCTACTGCTAGTTAATAATAAAATTGCTAATATTGTATATTACTAAAACTCTAATTTTGTGTGTGTGTATGTGTGTGTTTCTGAGATACAGCTTAAACGATATATAATACCCCATCCATTTTAGCATATTGTACATTGAACCTCTGCTGAGTGCAGTGCCAAAATTCATTAAAATTAGACAGGGGGTCCTTGAGCTAGGACCGTTATTTTGTGTTTTTACGGCATAGGAAATTCAGTATTTATTTTCATTAGACATTCTTATATCAATCCACGTATATAAACAAACACTTGCATATTATATTCTATTATGTGTGTGAAAAAATAAACATTCATAATACACTGTAGTAACATTATTAAATAAATTTAAATATACATAACACAGTATATATTTATACAATTCACTACACTAGAATTTTCTTTTTATAAACAGCTACTTGAAAGGTGAAGAGGCTATATGTGTCACATGATATGATAGTAAATAAATAAAAGCATGTTGGTTTGCTGCCGCTATATATTTTTAAATAAATGCAAGGAAGAAAAAGTAGGTGTAATAAAAAAAAATATACCTTTTGTTGTATAAGAGTAAATGTCATTGCCAACACTGTTGTTTGAAACTAGATCCCCAGGGAGTAACATGGGTGATTCCATTATTAAGTAGATCACATGATCATAAAAAAAAATGAATAAATACTGATCACTATTTCTCCTCTATCAATTATACGGTTCACGGTTTCATTCTTCTTGTCTATCCACTATTGCTATACGTTCACTCTCTCTACTACTATTACAGATTACAATTCTCTTTTGATCATTATACTATTTGGCAATTACTACTTGAACCAGTATTACTAGTACAGATATTATTGAAAGGCCTTACTACTACTAGTACCAGAGTTTACAAGTCTCAACTACAAAGAGAATTTTTGAGGTGATAACGAGCTTTCACTTGACATAACAAAAGGGACAAGTGAAGCCATCCAACATCACAAATGTGGTGAAACAGATTCACAACATACATATGTGCCAATCTTTGCGTCATATATGACAAGTATTATACACACTTTATCATTATATATTAATAATATTAGATTCAATTTGTAGGCAAGATCTATATATATGATCGATACATGTCACAGAAATCAATCTTTCTTGTACATATATATGTATATATTGGATAATGTCTCAATATGACATTAAAATTTGAATTAAAAGTTCATTGACAATGTTACATTTACTTATTTTTATATATGAGACTTATTTACGAGACCAGGATTTTGTTTTGTGATGAGAGTTTAGGTTTTTGTCCTGGATTCATTTCCCTTGGGCCAACTCCAGACTGACTTGTGGGCCCTTAGGCCACATTAAGAACCCCTGCTTTAGAATAACTCACAACCATTTATTTTTAGCAACATATCTGGAGTCTCTAATCAATACCTAAACTACAAAAATTATTTGAAATTTGTGTTGGTCAAAAATAGCCCCACCCACAGCCTGGGATTGGGTAAACCTTTTGAACTCTGGGTAGTGCAAATGATATTTTCTGACCTGCTTTTCAAGCTCAAAATTTCTCTAAATATATTTGTGAGGTTTTGCTTACTTATGGACCCTTGAAGGTATTAAGTTAAATTTCTCTATCAAGTGGAATCTCAACTGAAGCATTCTTAAGGAGGAGCCAGGAGGCCAATTAAGAATGAAATGTGAAAATTTCAAAGTAGGAAGGAATGGGTAATAAATTTACAAGTTCTTTTAGACATTAATTAGTTGATGAAAAGTAAGGAAATATATAGCATTCTTGGCTTCTCTCTTTCTGGCTTCTTACTCTTTGACTTCTGTATTTCTGGCTTTTCTCTTTCTGACCTTCCCTTCTAGATTCTTCCTTTCTGGCATCTCTCTTTCTCACATTGCTCTTTCTGGCTCCTCCCTTTCTGGCATCGCATTTTCTGGCTTCTCACTTTCTGGCTTCTTACTCTTTGATTTCTGTATTTCTGGCTTTTCTCTTTCTGACCTTTCCTTTCTAGCTTCTCCCTTTCTGGCATCTCTCTTTCTCACATTGCTCTTTCTGGCTCCTCCCTTTCTGGCCTCTCTTTCTGGCTTCTTACTCTTTGACTTCTCTATTTCTGGCATCTCCCTTTCTGCCTTCTCTCTTTCTGAGATGAGAATTTATTATTATTATTAGACACTGATTTATTCAAACTGTTATCCTCATCTTGGTTGTTATAGTCCTAAGATTTCATCTATTACCTAGAATTAAAGTTTATGTGCTGGTGTTGTAATGAAATTGGCAAGTGAGTTCAAAATTTGGTTGTGGCCTTTCCATTCACTTTATGATAATACTGTTGAGAAAGGTATGAATCCATCTCCCTTCAACTAAGTGTAAAACAGTAAGGCATTAGGCATTTGGCAAAGCAAATAGTCTTAGAGAAAAACAATTCAAATTAGTAATGCTTTAGGAATAGCATGAATCCACCTCCCATAAATGTAATAAAGTAGGGTAGACTGAATGTTTAGCCTTGTTAAGGAAACCAGTCTTGAAAGAGGAAAACATTGCATCCAAAATCAGGCAGTTGGAAA